TATAGAGCCTGGCTCCAAATTCGCTCCTGTAACCGTTAGTATCATAAGCTTCGAGCGGTGCTGAACACTGTGGGTGACGTCACACTCTCTTAGTCCACTTATATTATTCCTTCTTCTTATCCATAGTAATTGCAGTTGCAGGGCTCATTTTTTGATACTTGGGGGTGTGATGCTAACTGTAGGCACTGCTCTGTCTGAGCATTAGCCATCATTTTCCAATTAGTCTCTTTCACCATTTTTGTTGAAATTCAAACTCATAAACAGAACCAGAACAGAGCATTTGTATTGATCACAGACTCCTGAAAATGTGCTGTGTAAATCCATTTTGTATTTTTTCTAGAGTTTGCAGACAATCTGAAAGTTTTTTTTGGCAGTGTTTGTTAATGTGTGCATTGTGTCTCCATGGTAACTCCTAAACGTTCCACAATTTGAGATACATGTAGAACACCCCCAGCATGATGTCATTGCAAACTATCACTTGTTACCAAAATAGTGTGTATAGGATGACCAGATTTTCAAAATCATAAACTGGGACACCCCCGGTTTTGGGCGGTTGGTAATAATAAAATGGTGAAATGAGTGCGTAATGAAGGAAAATTGTTCTGCACTTGGCCCATTCATGACTAACATGAGTCAGTATAGTCACATTTTCTTCGTGTTTTGGTCATTTTTAAGCAGCTTTTCTGTATTGTACTGAAACAAATGACAGTTTATGCCTCTTTTTGGTGCTGGCAGATAGCAAATTGCTGCTAGGACAGGGGACTCATAACTCAAAACTGGGACTGTCCTAGGTAAATAGGGACATTTATTCTCCGTAACTGTGTAACATGTCATGAACTTCTCACCTGTGTAAAAAACATGGAAATACTGGAGGATGTCTATTAAAGCTTGTATCTGGATTTTTCCACATTGGAGCGATTCCCTTAAGCCTGTGATCCAGTGCAAATGCAAATGACAAGCACAGGTACATATTCATAGATGAAAAATAGAGTCCTCATTCGCCCTAATAACGTCTTATGAGAATATCCCTTAACACTGAGTGGGAGGAACTGTCTGGTTTGGGGAAGGTGGATTATACGCGTTAAGCTCGTGAAAAATATGAGTCCATAAATAAATAACGAAGACCACATTTTTGCTTTTAATGTGAATTTTAAAGCAGTTATCTTTATCTTGCACCTTCGCCAGACAGCTTCCTTTTCCGGATACAGGCGTTTTACAGAGAGCGGATTGGAAGAAGAGAGTTGTGTTCAGGAGAGGGAGCCGGAGCTACAAAGGCCGGGATAAGTGCTTTGCTCCGATTGAATCAATGACTGCGCGTAAGGAGGTGCTGGTGGCTAGTCTCCCCAGGGTGACAGGAGGCACCTAGACGATCCAACATCCATAACCAGAGAGCGTTGTGGATTAACTGGTCCCATGCATCATAGCTGAAGCGAGCAAGCGATGTGCGCTAGAATGTATTTATTGACTCATTGGCTGTATTGATCGTCGCCATTGATGAAATACTCCAGAGACAGGAGACAGGTGCGGAATAAAATAATGAAAAATGACGCAGCATGAGGGAAAGAAACGTCAGGGCTACTCTTCACACACGAACATTTGACACTCAGATGAAATCATACAAGCTGTGATTTCAGGGATATGTTTGGTGTGTATAGCTTCCGGTGTATTTTTGTTTTTCTGAGATTGTCTTCTTGATGTCATCAGTCTGCATCAAGTTCAGTGAAGGTTTCGGTCATTGTGAAAGTTAGTGTTAGTATTATTATTTTTGAAAATAACACAGTACCTGGTTATGCTTAAGTATTGCATTACAGATCCAATTCAGGCAGCACAATCCCCTGATGCGCCGTCTAAATTAAACTAGACAAAAAATAAATAAATACAAAAGTTTGCAGCAATTATTTTTTTTCCAATGTGATTTGAAGGATAATTCCATTGGAGTTTGCTTATGAATTTGTAACCCAATACACACCACCTCAGGGCTGTGCAATTAATCCAAATTTAATCTAATCGGGATCCAATAGTTTCAAAATTGTCAATGATCTGCTTGAGGCTTTATAATTGAAAAAATTCACATCCAATCCTCTGTCTGTAAAAACATGTTATTTGGAACAGAATTCAGACTTTGGAGAGGGAAGAAACATTTTTGAATAAATAGCATATAAGTCTTGTTAATGAAATATTTGTTTTAATAAGAAAACAAAAATTGTAATTGGGCGACTGTAGCTCAGTTAGTAGAGTGTTTGCTTGAAGGTTGGCAGTTTGAATCCTGCTCTCAACATAAACATCGTTGGCAGTGCGATTTCAGCTCCCACTGATGAATGCTGTTGTTGTGTCCTTGGGCAAAACACTTATGAATGAGTGAGTGTTTCCTTTGAGTGGTTACAAGATGGAAACTCGCTATATTACTATCAATACAAGGGGAAAAAAAACACAGTCTTTGCCTGTAATGTCGTAATAATGTGCCTTTTTCAAACACATCCAATCTGCTTCATCTGTACTTGTAGTCTCACCAGTCGTCCCTCATTCGGAGTGAGTTCCCGGTGCCCCCCCTGAAGGAGAGGCCCATCCTTGACGGTGAAATTCAGTGTGACATTGACATTGTTCCGGTGTGCAGAGGTTTATTTAACAAGCCATTAATCTGGTAACGCCAGCTGAGCGCCGCGCAGCAGATGTTTGCTAACAAACTTGTGCCTCGCTCTTGAACTCATCGGCGTGTTTTACTGTGACAAGACGGGGGTCGGGAGGGGCACTGTGGGTAAACAATGATTAAAGTACGATTCGGCAGGGGAATATGCCTCATCATAATGTCATCAGCCATAACCTCAAACAGGAACTATCACAAAGGGCAAGGGTCGTCATCTAGCAATTATGCTTTTGAATACTGTCAGAATTATAGCTGGGTGTATGACCTTTTTATGTGAATAAGATGTTAAACAAATTGTACTGGCAGTGGCCTATACAAGCAGATTTATCTTTACTTTTACCTTGTACATTTTTTTAGTAGTAATGTTATTTGGAGTAACTTGAGTAAAAGTTTTGGTTCTACATCTCACTCTAAAAAAGTGCTATTGACAAAAACGTACTGTTGACAGCTTTATTTTGTTTATCTTTCAACTTACCTTCAGATGTGGTTTAGCTTTTCAAGTTTTTTCATAAGTTGGAATGGAAATAACAGTACAACTTTAAATCATAAATCTAAACTATATTTCCCCAAATATGATCTAAGGCTGTAATTTTTTATTTTTATTTTTTTAAACCAAATACTTTTAAATCTAACTTACATCAGTATGTATATTATCACTACTTTTCTATCTGCGGATAATATTTTACCCTGTACTCATCATACTAGACATTCAACCTAATATTATTTTTCTACTTCCATTATATTTAAGATAACCAGTGTTTTTCCAGGTACCCCAAATACTACCTAATTTAATCTCAGTTACTCCAGTGTGTACTTTTATCACTACTTTTTACTTGTACTTGGATCACTTTTTTTTAGTACTTCTACCTAACAGTTTACCTTGTACCGTCATACTACACATTCAACCAGATATTATTTTCTACTGCCATAATATTTAATGTAACCAGTGTTTTTCCAAGTATTAATATGCACAGCTAACTCCTGATAAGGCTTGTCAATTCATTCTGACACAGCACCATTCTGCGTGCACTATCATCAGTATGCTAATGCACGTCACTGAAACAATCCAATTATTGAATGATGGTCGCTGTACACGAGCTCTCAAACCGAATGCACGTCCAGGCAATGAGCAATGGACATCCAGAGACTTAACACAGACCAGCTGACCGTTTGGGTTAACTTACACGGACAATGGAAAAACGACTGTCGAAGTGAACTGTCAGAGTATCATGAACTGGTGTACTGAAGAAAAACAGTGAAATATAACATTGCTTTGTGTTATGTGTGATGTGTTATGTTATGTTGGCTGCTGCGTGGGTGTCAGGGCAGCAAAGAAGAAACTAAACCTAGAGGTGATGTAAGGACAAACATAAGACACCATATCAAAGTTATTTGACTGTACTGTAGGGGTTTCAAAAGTATTGAAGATCAAATACTGATCTATGAGCAAGTGCTCATACTAAAAAAGTCACATTCACAGAAATGAATCTTTCCTGAATAGCTTTAGAATGATCTTGAGCTGTATCTGAACAAATATAAGAGCACGTGGACCACTATGGAACATACCTGGACGACTGAGGGATTACACAGATGGTAATATAAAAGAAAGTACTACAGTTTAATGTTGAAAATCTTGCATCTAAATGAAGAGTTTGATTTTATTTTTATTATCATAGTGGTATTGAAATCTGTATTGAGTATCAAGTCTATTACTTAGTATCAAAATCGAGTTTGAAATTTTAGCATCTCGACAACATTACTGTGCTCTGAACCCAAACAAACGAGAAAAACTCATCTTCTTTTTCACAAATATAAATATATTTTATGTCTTGTATGTACAATAATGATTTGCCATTATCAACATTAGTACTGAAGAGGAAAGCATATCAGTAAACTCTTGCTAACTGTCCTGTATGATTGATTGGCGAGCGCTCTCTCATCTTAGCAGACCAAGCGAGTTTTAAAGGTGCACTGTGTAACTTTTTTGGTGAAGGGTCTCTCAAATGCTTCATGGAGATGTTATTGCTTTGTCTGGAATGTTTCACAATATGATGTCAAACCTTTCTACCTTCATTGAGACCAAACCAGACCCAAGTTACAGGTCAGATCTGTGGAGAGGCGACCCAGCTCACAGTCAGAATGCCTGTTTTTCTAGATGTTTTACCGAGCTATAAAACAACCTGTAGTTTAATTTGTGTAAGGTAGAGCTTTTTAGTGTCATACTGTGTAACACTCAAGACAGAGCAATGACATATCCATAGAAACAATCAGGTGAAGGACCCCCAACCAAAAAGTTACATAGTGCACGTTTAATTGAGAAAGCTGGTGTTCGGGGCTCTGTGCTATGCCAAGTCTACTAGTCCTGAGCGCTTTTATGTTCATGTTCAGCCTCTAGCTCCCATTCAAAGTTCTGTCCGGTCATTTGGTAGAACATCATATTAAAGGGTTTATAGAACTTGTGGAGTCGCCGAATCACATCCGGGTCGATTTTAGGATGAGTTCTGCCTTTGGATTTTCCCAGGCACCGAGGCATACTGCTGTCCTCTGGCTTCTTTAAACAGGGGAACCCTTTAGTTTTATTGAAGTAAAAGTGTTTGTCCGTTACGATCCGCTTCAGTCCTAAAAAGTCCTGTACTTTGGCCATCTCTCCAGCGGGGTCCACTATCAATCTCTCCCCGCTTACAAAGTGCATCTGCGAAAGAGGAAAATACTGCATCCACGTCTCCAGATGTAATGCGTAAATCCCTATACGCAACGCACTCCAGGATGCATCAATCAGTCCAAGCGTCCGATTCTTGAAAGCTAGAACCTCAAAAGTGGGAATCTCCGGTTTCTTGGACAAAGTCTGTGTGTAGTCCGAAATGGCTCTTGTTACGGGGTTGCGCACCACAATAATCAGTTTGATGTCACGCGCCATGGAGTGAATGCGCTTCGGGGCATGGCTGGTCACGAAGTAGCTCGGCGTCTTTTCCATGGTGATCTGGCCCTCCAGCGTTGAAGGCATCAGTTCTCTGGAAAAACAAGAGAAGAAGAAAAGCTGTTTAGTGTGGAATTGCATTAAAAATGAGCAGTGGTTTTGTATATGTCAGAATCGTGCTTCCTTCCACTACATTAAACAACAAAACCTGTACACAGAGTATCTCATGATGTTGGGTGAGCTATTGCCATGATATATATATATATTTTTTTTAATGAAGTTGTTTATTATTCAGCTAGACATTTAATTGTAAAATGTGGGTGCTCCTGTTCACTTGCTGTTACAAATTCTGGGTACTTTTTGTTTAAAGTTTGAATTCTAGTTCAAACTTTCAGCTCTTTTATGGGATCTTTTGGATTCCTTCCTGTCAAAGAGCCATTCAAAACTGGCTCTTTGTATATTTATATGAATTTATAATTATATGAGCCAATGTGAGAACTCATTTTATCTGCAAACTAATCAGAGAGAAATGACCAAGGCTCAAATCTGTTTAAAATGGTTCTGTTATTATGATGCCAAATACGTTTTTCTGTGCAAAAAATCTGCCTCTGTGCTGATTCTTGTATTGGTTCAGAGTTAATCAGTGTAAAATTGCATAAAGTCACATCGCTATTGAATTTTACTAAATGCAGTCTTTGGGGTATATAATATGAAGCAGTACGCAGGGTGAAGCATTTGCTCCGCGCCACAAAAGTACATCATTCTGCACAAAAGAAAAAACAAAAATTCAACTCCCAAAATGTTATCAGTTGGTTTCTTAGCAACCTCTTAAAGTTCTATATGAAACTATTTTGCAAACAATGACCAAGCGACCAAACAACCAAAAGTTTTGAGCATGGCTTTATTCTCTGCACAAATAAACCCACAGGACTAAGGACTACACACGATGACTCTGCAAATTTCTCCTTATCTTTTTAAACATCCACATGACCACCGGACATTATGTTGTGGAAGGGAAAAACATACAGCTAATTACATGCATGGAGTAATACGTACAAGATAAAAGAAGCAAGATGAAACGACAGGCAAGCTAGCATGCTCATTGCTTAATTGACTCCATCTGTGTGACTCTAGGAGCTGTTTTGGAACTCTAATAATGAGTTCGCTGCATACCATTAATACAGGGGTGCCTGGGGTATTGTTTTGTCATACATTTATTATGCATGCTAGGCTCACACTTCGCTCCGATGGTTTTATTTCCCATGCACACCGATGCAGTTCTCCCTCTGCTTCTTGTTAGGGTTAGGGGCAGTGCAGACGGATACGCTGTGATTAATTATGGAATTCAAGGTGATCATTTGTTGTACAATAGAGAAGAGTCCCCCAGCACCGGTCTCGATATATATATTTTTTTTACACCAGCAATAAGAGTTTTCCGTGAATATTGTGTGATTTAGCAAGCCAAAGTATATGACATGCGCCCAAGCTGTTGCTATTTTTATATCAATAATAAAGCATAGTGCTAGCCTCAAGCAAATCCTTATCAAATGTTTACACTGATGCTCATTCCAATCGCTGTGGTTTTCTTTGTTCGTAGGCTATGTGATTCACAGCTAAATTGGTACATTAAATCCTCTTGTGAGACAACATTCATTTAAAAGCAACAACAACAAACATGAGTGCTGTGTTTGGAAGAAGACTTTGAACATGTGTTTAGTTACTGAATACCTGCATTCAAGGCACAGAGTACTGTATTCTAAATACTAGAAATATTTACACACTGAGTTAGATTATGGGAAAAAAATATTATGTTTGTTGCACTTTTTAACCATCCAAAAATTCTAAAAATAAAGAACTCAAATCTGATCCATTATTATTTATTTTTCACAAATTAAAGAAGGTAAAACTGCACATGCATGCACCTCAAGAGTTCTAATTGTTTTCTCACTAACTCCCTGCAGTCTGTTGCAGTCTGAAGTGTAATTTGTTCGATAACATACTGCAATTCCTTTGAGTAAAGTAACTGTATCCTGAGTAGTGTTGTCATGATACTAAAACGTCAATTCAATTTCAATATCAGCACAACTGGTTCAATACTCGATACCAATTATGATACCACAATGATACAATAAAAACATGCTAATTGACCTACATAAAATAATAGGACTTTCTAAAGCAGTATTCATACTTGCTCAAATCAGTGTGTCAAGTTTTTTTTTTTTGTTTTTTTTTATAGTTTTTTTTTCCATACTTTGACAACCTCAATTCCATACCACCAAACTACTGAAATACCAAATTTGTATTCTGAATATATACTTTTTGTTTCATATATTTGCAGTAGTTACTTCCCAACACCAGCACTATGACAATATCACACAGAAATGCAAAGGCCAATTCAGTTTTTTCCTTCGCAAACTAAGACATCTCTGCTCTGAAATGAATAAACAAACACAATCCATATGAACAACACATATCCCTGTAATGCTCAGATGAAAGCCTTTTCCATCTCCTTCCAATATCTTGTACTATGAGGTTGCCCGAAGTTCCAGGAAGCGCCATACTCACATCAATCATTTGCATCTTGGACATATTCTAAATGAACTGTTCTCCAGCAAAGAATCCAATTTACCGGGGAAAACATAAGAGCTTTTATGCAAGTATCGACCACCCTCACGCACACACGCACCCATGGATAGCAGACCAGTCTCACAAGTGGCCTGGTAATTGCGTCTCGGTAACAGTATTGCCTTCCTGATGGGTAATTTCCCTCTGGATTATGTTTGTCTCTTGACACTGTGCAACTGTGGTTACTCCTTGGCCTGTAATGGGATATTAAACATATCTACAGATAGCACAGTGACTGGAAAGAGGATTCGTTTTCATTATTTTCTGTGACTTCAGCCACACTTCCTCTCTTCCTGTAATGAATTGATAAAGATTTTTAGCTATCCTTTCAAGGACTTTTGCTCTGACAGTGGTTAAACACGTCTTCATAGCTGATCTTTGTCCTATAAAGTAGGCTATACATTCTTACGTACATTAGCCAAAACTCTTTCATCTTTTATAAAGTCCTGGTTGGTCCTAATGCAGATTTGGCCCTGTTTTAATCCTGGTCTAGTCTTAATCTAATTTTGGGTTTAGTTTCAGTTTAGTCCCAGATTTTATGTGGTGACTGTGTAAGTGTGAATGCACCTTAAGTTTGCATAATTGCGTAGATTGCTATATAAAAAATGTAACTTTGATTATCAACAAATCAACATATGGGCCATAGTTATACTGACAGTCTAGAAATACTCATTTCCATTCATTCATTTATTTATTCATTTATTATGATTCATCTATACTCCTTGAATGCAATGAATAGATTTCCATCTTCTTCTCAAGGACTTTATGAAGTAGGTGGTTATCAACATCACATGTATGTGATAAAAAAAAGAAAAATCAAAGTTACACACACACACCTGAGTGGCTCACCTTGAGACAACAGATAGCAGCTCTGTGTAATGTGCTGCATCTTTGGAGCATGTCCAATTGACAGGACAGATGTACATCGCTCAAGGTTACCTCTCCAAGCCATACACACAACTACGCTATTGTCCTCAATGGGCCTGCAGCTAATCAGCCCTCATTTAATTATAAAACAATATGCACAATGCAGAAACCGTGGTATGCTCGCCGCATTGGAAAGCAGTCATGGATCATGAGCGTCTCTAAAATGTCAGAGGGATGGCGAGGCGGGACCAAAAATCAAAATGCTGATAAACAAGCTAATTCCTTTATGCTTGGCTAACCACTCCTCTGGCCTTCAGTCTGCTGGAACCCGAGTAAACAAGAACTAACTATTAAGTCTATCTCTTTGTCCCATTTGCAACAATCAGGTGCTGAGTTCAACATAGGGCATTCAGGTAGGTAGGTACATAGAATCCATAGTGCTAAAGAGTCACAGTTTACCATCTGCTGTTTACTGTTTCTGAGTAAGAATCACACCGCGCTGCATAGCACTTACCGGATGCTTTTCAACACATGTCTGAGGCTTTATTTACATAAAATCTGCGAGTGAGGTGATAAAGTCGCTATATGTAACTTTTAATGATCTTTGCCCATACTTTTTTCTATTAAGAGCTTCTTCCTGACAGTAACCTGGAAACTGCATTAGAACATGAAGAAAACTGAGGGGATTAGACTTTGAAGTGTTCTGCTAAGCATGTAAATGTGCAGCTCTGGTTTCTCTGGTGCAGACATTATCATGATGTAATAATGAGCCTGTGACTTGTGATGTATTGAGGTGATGTAGCAGGAAATCCATTTGACTCCCACTCTGCTCAGTGTAAGACTTCAATGTGAAAGAGGCCCAGTTGCATCACATGTGATTCATCACTCTAATACACAATTATGACAAGTCTTCTGTCTGACCCAAACTAATAATAACACATTATATGGTGCAAAGATGTGGCATACACATAAATCAAACAAACATAATCTTCTCACAACTCCATCAGGCCCGGAGACCAATATTAGTGCTGTAGTGTGGTGGAAAGTAACATAATATATGTACCAAACAACATATTTGGAATTGTACTTTTGAGTAACTGTATTCTGCTACAGTTATTCTTCAAGGTCCTATATTATTAGTTTATCTGTCTTCATCTCCAAAGCTCAAAATACTCAGTTCCACCTTGTGATTTCATAAAGCTGAAGTTTACAAGTTTAGTTCATTAGAGATTGGCAATTATCCAAGTAATTCTAGTGAACTGTGTAGGGTTTAAAAACACAGTGAGGCACTTCCTGTGTTTTCTGCTCGAGAGGAACTGAGCGTAAATATGCACGGTTTGTGTTTTAAACATGTGTGAATCAAGCGAAACACGACTCCGGGTCTGTTTTTGATTATAATATAAATAGAATATAATGCAATGTGCTCCCTTTAATTTGGTGGTATTCAAATACTGTTACTTTCCTAAAATCAAATGAATACACACTGGTACTTTATCACGGACGTTAGGCTTTCAAATAGAAAAAAAGAAAATGTTTCTCTTGTGGTGAATGTGTATCTGATTTTTCCTTCTGTAATTAGTACATAAAAGCAAAACAAATGTG